GAAAGATATTTGGTAAAAAAATTTTGCAGTTTTAATCTCTATCAAGAGAGTTTAGCTACTATCGGTATCTCTATCTTATGGCAGGCCAGAAATTATTTTTTACTTACTTTGATATCCTTTCACACTGTGACAGAATATCACTTTGGTATCCTTTTACACTGTGACAGAATATCACTTTGGTATCCTTTCACACTTTGACAGAATATCACAGAAAATCACAGTATTTCACTGTTGACAATGTAATAATGTACAATTATGGACTGTTTAGAAGGGAGACATCACCAATTATCATATCTGAGTAGGATGGCAACCCTACTTAGACCTGATAATTGGTGATATGACCCTTTTAAACAGTCCATAATAGTTTTATTATCCTGAAGAATCTAAATTATTTTTTTTCAAAGATCGATATATCATGTTACGTAATGAAATTTTTCCTCACATTCAATTTATTTACCGGTCCCGCATATATATGTTATGTAATTATATGATTTATCTCGCTTAAGACACTTTATTTTTCATCTAAAGGGAGATAACACAGTTGTCACCATGCATGCTCGCTTGCACTATTTCTTCGTCATCTGCAGGGAGACAATACAGTTGTCACCCTGCGAGTGAGGGAGAATCACGAATTGTCTCCCGCACATGACCTGCTCTAAACCAATCAGATTGACTGAATGTATAATTTTGAAGGATAATAATGTTCGTCATCTCCATACTTTATTAGATTCTCAATGTAGCTTCCCTCATATCTCTCATATTTAAGTTTACACTTTCGCATTTTTCTCTTATAGGCTAATTTGTATTCTGTTTTCATCAGATTTACACAAATTAAATTGAAGTCAAACTGACTTGTACTCCGAGTACTTAACTTTACAACTATCACTGACTGAATCATTGTTTGTTGTTTTCTTACCTTTCAGCATTGTGACTTTCATATGAACATGCCTCTAATTATACAACATAAACTTTGGGAGGTATTAAATTCATTTCTTAAATTAATTATTCTCTTAGGAAAGAAGAGTATAAATGAAAATATTTACTTCCTTTTAAATTAACATCTAGCATAGCTGTCTGTCACCATATTTATGTGAAGCAATTGTTCGATAGATTCTTCAGTAAGAAAAAAAATGTATAACACGCAGTGAGTACCTGAAAAATCGACAGTTTGACATAGTTATCTGACAAGACACATGACTGACAAAACTATGGCCCTTCCCCCAGTAATTGATATTTAGAATAAATAATTTGATGTCAAAGAAAAATTAATAAGAAGAGACTTGAAGTCTTAGATATTCTATGTTTTTGATTCCTCCCTTGTATATTGTATAGCGTAGGGTGGTCAAAATGTAAGACAACAGAGAGATCGTGATAAACTTTAAAAATCACATGAAAAAAGAATAAATAAAAAAATATTTAAATTCATTGTTTTATAAGTATATGCCATATATTTAACTAAATATATACGCACGATTAGCTGTCAAAAAATTACTAAAAAGTCATCAAAATCTGAAAGACGTCCCTGATTTGCATGGGTTCTTCTATTTAGCTGTTTTAATATCTCGAAGACAATCATTGATGTAGCTATTACCGACAGAAGCAGGGTAATTGTCCGCTCACTGAATGAACTCAAGCTTTTTAAATCAACTAGTGTCTTGCTTTGTGTTTGTTTTAATTTAAACTATCTTGACTTGCATTCACCATTGAAAATATTTCAAAGTGGCAAATATCAAATTTCCATGTATGAAGAGCAGTACGGAATTTAAATGTACATTACAACCAGGTCTATTTTATGCCCTACTCCGATTCTAAATGCTGGGTTATATATATACCATCGTTCGTCCGTTCGTTTTTTTTTTTTTTTTTTGGTTAATTTTTGTGTATTTCCACACGCTTGTCTTTGTTCGATTTTGTTCGATAGCTGTCATAAACTTACAAAATAAAGTCGACAAAGTAATTTCATACCAATAGTTTGGCCTTTGTTTTTATATTGAATTTGACTACGGAATGCTTTGTGTACCTGATCAATACATAAGGCTCACGGCGGGTGTCACCGGTCGACAGGGGATGCTTACACCTCCTGGGCACCTGATCCCACCTCTGGCGTTCTGCGTTTTCTTAAGTCCTGTCCACAGATTTGTATTGTGTGTAATTTTTTTTATATCGATCGATATCTTCACTTTTTCATTTTATATATTTTGTACGATTCTTAATGGGGATTGACTTGATTTGCGAAAAGCTTACTTTTAACGAGGAACGAGTTGGATGACATCCATGCATATCAACTTATTTGTTAGTAGCTTGCCTTGAATTAAAAATTGATCGTGCTCAGAGCATGTTCTTGGGTATCGAATCAGTTGGGAGACAAACACCATGTACATTATTGTAGATGTTGGAAAATTGCAAATAATTGTTTGTCATTCAGTCTAGTTTTTAGTTGGCCATTATCCTCTATATTTAGTGAAATGCATGGAATTTGAAACAGTGTTGTAAATTTGCAACCTAAATTCAATTTTATAGCAAAATGTCCCAAAGTTCCCTTAGTAGGCTGAGAATAAAATCAACCTATTTCGTGGGAGCTACCCTCTTCTTGTCTGTATAAATTAAGTTACTCTGAAAATCACAAGGCAGATATGGACACCCCATCCCTTCATGACTCTTCATTATTTTCATATTTCCTTATAGATCATGGTTTGAATATTGTGATTTTGAATTTTTTTTCTAGTGCTTACCAAAGCACTGAAGTGCTTTGAGAAAAAAGTAGTAAAATATTGTCGAAGTTAACTTTACCTTTTCTAGACGTACAACAAAAATCCTTAGCTGACTCTAGGTTTGGAAAGTCTTTGAGTCTTACCTCACGACTTTAGCAGCACTTTCCAGATATTATACAATGCAAGCTTTCGATCTGTACAAATATATTTCGTTTTAAAGTATTCGGCTTAGTGTTGTTCTTTTGTATTACTGTTGTGAAGAATGATAGAGAAAAAGGTTGATGGGGATATATAATAGCTGACTGTCTTCAATAAAAGATATAATTGGTGAAAATAGATCAGCATACCAGTTTAACAAAGTTTAAATCCATATGAAGCACAAACATTATTCAAGGTATTTACTTCTTAACCCCCCCCCCCCACCTTTTACGTATCTTTTTACATGCCGTCTTATCCAATTATTGTTACATAACATGATCAATTCTCAAGTTATTTGTTAACAGTTATTACGTCATCGGTCAAAGATTTTAATACAATGAAATATATGGAGATAACGAACAGAATTCAAATTCAGAAGTCCGTTCAAACAATACAAATCAGAAGCAGGGCAAACACGGACCTCTAAAACATCAAAGGTGGGATCAGGTGCCATGGAGGAGTTAGCACCCCCTGCCGACCGGTCATACCCGCCGTGTGCTCCTTGTCCTGATCGGTAAATAACGGAAAAACCCGTCGACAATTCAGTGTATATATAATGGCCTAACTATTAGTATAAAAGACGTCAGTATGTATTTGACTCAGTGATAGATTGTATTTGCTGACAAGGTCATTGTATCGACCATAGAAAAGTGGCAGATACCGCATAACAAAATAAAAACATTTTATTTCTGTTAATATTTGCATGTTTCAATTCATTTTCAAAAGTTTGATTACATCTCTAAATACCAATATTAAGAAAATTTGTGTTCTAAAATTCACGTCATTTCGCCTACTATGACGTCATATTGTATAACTGACTTAGTCAAGTCAGAATATCTGAGCGTTCCCTTCAGGTCAATATCTAGTAAATGAAAGGATCCTACAGATTTCTCTAATTTGAGAAATAAATTCCTTTTATGATGCTTTATAACTATAGCTTGGTCAAATAAGGTGTATTGGGGCATAATTTGTAGGAAACAAGACGAAAAAATCATATTTTAAATTGTCATTTTCAATGAAAAATTAAGAAAGGTCAGTCATGAACAGGGGAGTTTTTTTCCATATCAGACATAGGAAATGTATCCAGATTGTTTGCAGTCTCTCAGAAAACGGTAATTGTATGTTCTTAACCTCTTCTTTAGAATAATGTAAAATTGAATATTGGTATCAGGATTATTTTTCAGTTGATTTCAAATTGAATGTCAGGAAAATATTTTTCTACATAATGTTACTAAAACCGTAAAGTACATGGAAAAAGAAAGTTTAAATTGGTTATGACGTAATTTTTGATTTAGCACCAAAAAGTCTAAAGACATTTACTAGATCTTGACCTTAACACACCTGTCTACCACGGTCCTATAAAAGCGGGAGCATTTCAAAGTCTTGTTTTTTCAATATCGTACTGAATACAATTACTTTCATTCCAGAGAAATTAAACAAAGTAACGTTTTAATTCAATTATTCAAGAATAATTACACATTTTTAGGCTTAAAATCACAGTAATACCACATAAATTTTACAAAAAAGTTCTTATAATTTGCATGTGGTATGAAATAAGAGACTTTATTGTGGCACTTTCCCCGTCATGACACCTTGAGTTTGCAGTGACTTGACGTCATTTTCCATTATGACGTCACATATTGTAATTAAGTGAAACCACAATGTGCACTGACTTTGATACTCTTTGGGAAGCCTTAACTTACCGGCCTACTTTCAGATTATTTTCACTTGTCATTGACCGTTCACGGTAGCTCAGTCGGTAGAGCGTTAGCTCCGTGGTCGGGAGGTCGTGAGTTCGAATCTCGGCCGCGACTGACCTAAGTCAATAAAAAATGGGTTCCTTCGCCATGCGATCGGCATTTTAAAGTGAAAGTTGTGGGTCCTTCGGATGAGACATTAAAAACCGAGGTCCCGTTCACGACAGGCGTTGGCACGATAAAGATCCCTCACTGCTCAATGGCCCCGAGTGCCGAGTAAAGGTCAAAATTTGAAGCCCTTCACCGGTAAATGGTGACACCTCTATATGAGTGAAAAATTGTCGAATGGGACGTAAAACAACATACAATCAATCAATCACTTGTCATTGAGTAATTAATAATCCTTTTTCTGTATGTATCTGTGATTTCTGTTATCATAGCCCAGCCCCCGTGATGTTGTTATCCTGTTTTGTCTAGTTAAAATCAGTGCTAAGAAATGACCATCTTTGTCAAACATCTGAACTATTTTGCTTATATCATCAGTTACCAGGATGTGAGACAACACGTCTACACAGATTCCTTGTGGTGATATTCGTGATCCCGATGAATGACATGTGTACGAGAATCGATATCCTCCTCCACGCTCTGTCACCACTACACCATTCTGCAAGTCAGACACAATAATATCTCCATTATGGTTCTCAGTGATGTACGCAAGAAATTTATACAGTTTCTTTCCCGTATTATTGTGTTGAATGACCTGAATTTCTTGTCCTGTACTGCTAAACCGCATTACCTTGGCCTCTGTGTACCCATGTTTACCCTTTTTATACCTCAACATTCCGACAAATATATCTGCACTGAGGGGAGAGCGGTAGACACACTCTGCTTTCCATGCCTCTGTTTTCTTTATTTTATTTTTTCTGTCCTTTTTTACTTGTAGAATTTGTTGATGTTATGATCCCCATCTATATAAATCAGATTCCCATCTCTAGACACGGAGTGTCTTCCAGTGCAACTTATTGTATTTGTCACAATGTAAATAGGGTCACATGCTCTGTTTGTCAAGATTATTTGTCCACTTTGATCACTGATCCATACGATGTCTGTTGTCTCACAGGAAATGTGACGAACCTCATTAACTTCTTCCACTGAAAATGATTTCTTCAATACAGGTGTATGCATCAATTCCAGCAACTGCTCCTCTTTTACTTTCCTTTTTTCTGTCGCAGTGGTTTGGATTTCACCTAGTAACTTCACTACATCCTTCATGTTGATTTCACTATTCAGGGAGAATGAAAATGTGTCAGGAATGTCCTTAATCCTTGGAATAGGGGTTTTCTTTACATATAAAAGGAATGGTACCGGCTTTTCTAAACACTGTTCTAATTTGTATATAAACATTTCTGTGTGGTAAATGTTTCTTTTTAGTTCTTGTAATCTGTTTATCAGCCTCAACTTTAATCCACTTATATAATTCATTTCTAAACTAGACAGATCCTTCAATCTACAAGTTCTTTTTATAATGCTTTGCTGGAGGCCAGATATTCCTGATCGAAAAATGTTTTTGACATCGGATTTGATTATTGCTAGGATAGCCTGGTTTTTGTGGAGAACATTAGATCTGATCTATACAATTTTATCTTTGTGTAGTTGTCTGCGTATATTATAGATGTTGACAATATCCAAAATATTATGACTCCGATGTTCACCACACTCAGCGTAGGTTGGAAAGTCACAGGACAAACACCATTTATTTAGGTCCCTGCCTTCATGCACGTTACAGGGCTCTGGTATCACGAAGTCGCCATACTTTAAACGGTCAATGACTACATCGTGGTTTTTTGTGTCGAGGTCTATCACTTGCTTCTCCTTACTAAGAACACATAGGTCTCGTTTATATATTCTGCAGTAGAATTCTCGGTGCCCCTTACACTGAGAGCACCGTGGAACCTTTAAATGTGTGTAAACATCTGTATCCAGGATTTACTGCAAAATATGCTCCTGGTTTATGGAGTTTCTATTTTTTCTCTTTAATTAAGTTGTAATCTAGATATGAAAATTAAGATTAGTTTTTCTTCATTACGAACAGATGATACAATTTTTTTATTAAAAAATTCACAATAATGCCCGATAAAGTGATAATAAATTGTATAGATTTTTATGGATAATTGCAGAAAAGTAGAAATTCTAACTTCATAGAAAGTTTACGAATTCTTTACAAAATATTTGTATTTTCATCATTTACAACCAAACAAGGTCCAAAAATATATACCAATCCAGGCATTCATTTTTGTTTGTATTATTTGTCCTTAAAAGGTTTCATATCAGATTGTAGGTGAAATATTTTGGTAAAAATCAAATATGTTATGTGAATATCAATCATATTATCATAAAACAATGATTCATACTTTTAAAAAAAGGAATGATGTAATAGGCACTGGTCAGAATATTAAATATTAGTACATGGAAATAAAATATCTTGAAAATTAAAAAAAAAAAAATAAAGGTACATGGGCTCAAATGGAATCACTTTTGGATTATTTTATAGACTGCTTAAATTCATGCATACTAATTGATCTATGTATGACCAGATACTCTATTGAGAGAGTGTTTGTTTAAAAATTAAGAAGACCGAGATTTGCTTGAAAGGTCCGTCTAAGTTTTAGCTCACCTGTACAAAAGATTTTTAAAAAAACTTCTTTGATCGGAATTGTTATCTGTTGTCGTTGGCGTTCTAAACTTTGCAATTATTTTATCTTGCGTGTGTACAGGGAAAAAATCTCAAAAACAGCACTAAGCTATGTTAAAGACCGAAGTGGAAAAAGTGATCTTTGAACCTTATTAATATGTATTATTTTTAAGACTCTTTATAAAAAAGTAGCTGTATACATGTAGGAAAGGTAATATAGATATCCATAATGGATAGGTCTGTGCCGTATATCGCATTTATCAGCTGCGTGTCACGTGACTGGTATAAAAATAAATTGTAAAGTTAAGGGAGCCGACTGGGGTTTTATTGTGTGAAAACTACTGTAGAAAAACTCTTGAATTTTTTTACCATATGTTACCTTACATTGACCTCAGTATACATGCCAAGTTTAGTAAAAATCTACCGTCTGGTTATTTCTTAGTGACCATCTCAAAATACAGGTACATTTACTATATAGGATTCTATAGGGAAATACCACTTTTTCGCACTTCTGAGCAAATTATACAAATGCTACTATAGACTTTTGCTCAAATTATATTATTCATGAATAATACTATATTGTACATTTTATGCAAGAAACACTAAATTCTACGGTCTGGTTTCCAGAGGGGGCATCTCAAAATGTCATATTTCATGATATTTTCCTGTTTTTATGGAGTACTACAAAACATATGTATGTAAAGAAACAGCGTTCATTGAAATAAATCCAATGCATAATCTCTTATAAACCTAGGATCATAAAACAGATGAAGACTAAAGTCAAACTTCCATCATCTCTATAGTGCCTTTAAAACTGGGATCTAAAACTAAAAGTTTGTAGATAAAAAGTACTCTAATAAAGCCATCTGTAATAAAATAATTTTTTTCTAGACTATCTGACCTCTACATCATTTTAGGGCAATTGATAGCTTTTGACTTAAGGTATGTCACTCGTCAGCTTTTTAGAAAAGTTCAGTCAGAACCTCTAACTTCAAAACTTTTAATAACAATTCAATTTTTATAACACATTTAAATTAAACAATGTAAATTATTCAACATTCAATTACAAAACTGCTCACAAAAATAAAGAAGAAAGATTTATGAGGGACTATTTCTTTTGGCGGGAGGATATTTAGAAGAAAATTCTTCAAATCTACACATTTGTTAAATTTAATATCTTGGAACTTTAGTCCCTTTTACTCAGAGAATATTTTCCGTTATGATACGCTAGGAATATCAAGTCAAGATAAAATCTATACCGTTTTTTCCAGAATATCGCATATTTTGACCAATCAAAATTAATCATCAGTAAGTAATTTCAAAAGGACAAGGTATGGTAATGGCCGAATCTGGCCCCTTATTTGATGTAAAAATCAGAACAGTTAAAATTGTGATAGTTTGTAGTTAGAAACTTAAAGTGAGGCTTGTTTTAAAACCAGCATTTATTGTGATTTAAAGCTTACATGGAGCCCACAAGAGGGTACAGAAGTAAAACATTTTCCCGAATTTCCTCCAGTCTGTTGAAATTTGTCAAATTTGAGATACTTTCCACTTCGGGAAGCATAGAGCACGAGCTTGACTATCAAAGATTTTTATACATAAGATGCATCTGATACTAGTCTATGAAATATATAAATTTGGTAGAAAGGTAAGCTTGTGCTTTATGTTTTCTGAAACAAAATATGCTGTAAAACCGATAACAATTTGCATAAAATGAGAAAATCCGGAAAATAACATATTTTCTGACCTTCCTGTGACCTCTGTGTATCCAATAACTTAGAACCAATACTCATTTTGTGGCAGGGGTGACAACAGGTTTTTATTGATAAACTATTGCATCATTCTAAAAGACAATCCAAAACAGGAGCCAAATATGGTCTTAGCCTGTCTTGTCCTTTACATCACTGACCACAACTTTTTATATGAGTATGAGATGTGAGATGAGATGTTATATGAGATGTTATATGAGTACTTATCTAAAATATACTTTTTAAAAAATCCTTGATATAACTAATTTCACCAGTGACAAACCTTAAATGATCCTGATATCTCAGACCAGTGGAGTTTAAAATCCACCTCTGAGCTGAACGTGATTGTATCGTGCACGGCAGAGATTCTCCTACTTTTATAAAGTCAGTAACTATTCACCAACGCTGGAAAAATCACACAGTTCTCGCAAAGAAAACGATTATCATTGCAAATTCATGTTTGTCTTTTTTTACGAGCAGGCAGCATATTAAATATTAAAGGCTGTCATACGCTTCCAAAATAAAGTCAGTAAGATCAGGAAGTCAACGTAATTACGAGCATAGATGCCTCTGTAAAGTTGTTTTACATTTCTATGGCAGAGTTAATAGTCAAGTAATTGTAGCCATTGCCAGACAAAAAAAAGGATACTGAATGGATGATCAATCACCCAGTTTATTGATTTTTGTTTATTTCTTTTTTATCCAATCTCTACCTGTATTCATATTTCATATTGACAAACATCAAATTTCCGCGTACGAAGCACAGTATTGGATTCAAATATACAATAATTGCAAGCTTTTACCTGGATCATCAACGAACGAATCAGGGTTATGTCTTAATCTTCAAGATAGCTAAAAGAGGAACATTTTATCTACAAGTAAAGTATGAGGAATGAATTTTTAATATAATTTAATGTAAGGAGCAATGACTACAGACTACGGAATTGTGAACATCGGGAGTGTGAAAAAAGAACATATTATCATGCAGTTGTCTTCCTAAAAAATATAAAAACTTTTCACGTTAGTTGTATTTCCAAAGATGGTGTATCAAGGACTTCATTCTAAAACAGTGAAGATAACGAAATGTGTTCGATCTCAAACATTCTACAAATAATACAAATCTTTGTATAGGACATCACACACGGTCCACCGGATATTCCAAGAGGTGGGATCAGGACGAGTAAGCATCCCCTGTTGACCCAGTCACACCCGCCTGAGCACTTTGCATTGATCAGGTAGACGGAATATTCAGATTATGTATTAAAATAAAGGCCTAACAATTGGTACGAAAAACATCAGTCAAAATACGACCCAATGATAGGATAAATTTAACAAGGTCTTTATGACGACCATAGAATTTACGAAATGCTAAATTTAAACGAGATTTTTGGAATCCCTGTA